GAAATACATTTCAATGCTAGAGCTAAGAATTGCTTGTTTGAATTTTTAGCATGGATGTGTTTAACCAAGTGTTCACTTTAAATACGACACATGAAACTTGGTTAAAACTCCAAGAGCTCCATGACGGCACAACTAATGTCCGTGAGCAAAAATATTGTCTAGCTAAACAAAATTATGATTCCTTTAAAATGAATGATGATGAGCTTGTTCGTGATATGTATTATCGTTTGAATCTAATTATCAATGAGCTACATTCAATAGGATTAACAAAGCTAGATGATGCGGACATCGTGAGGAAGATCATATCCATGCTACCACAAAAGAAATATGCAAGCATCATTACCATCCTTCATAACATGGAGGACTTGAGCACTATGACCCCGGCCATAGTCATTGGCAAGATAGTGGCATTTGAAATGTCACGCAAGATGGGTCAAGAAGAAGCATCTTCATCAAGCAAAGGCAAAGCTCTCGCATGTAGTGAGAAGAAGAAGATGAAGGGCAAGAAAGTTGAGACAAGCTCAGGCTCAAGCTCCTCAAGTGAAGATGAAGAAGAAGATGAGGATGATGATGATTCAAGTGATGATGATCAATCTTTCTCCTCCACCTCCGACCTTGATGAAGAATCAATCAAACTTATCAACAAGGTGGAGAAGATGATCCAAAGGCTCAATGTCAAGGGTGTGCCCATCCAAATTCAAGATCTCATTTTCACCAATCAAAGAAATAAGCAAAGGAAGAGAGGATGCTATGGATGCGGCGAGTTGGGGCACTTTATGGAAGTTTGTCCAAACAAGCCCACACCCAAGACAAAGAAGAAGGCATGCAAGGACAAAGCCCTCACATCAATAAGGTTATGGGATGATTCTTCAAGTGAAGAAGAAGACCATCACAAGATGCGAAGTCACAAGCACTCATCATCAAGCTCTTCACGTGTGTGCCTTATGGCACGAGGTAACAAAGAGTCTATCCCTAGTGATAGTGACAATGATAGTGATAGTGATGATGAGCTACCTTCTTATGATGAAATTATGCAACAAAATCTTAACTATGTTAAAGTTTGCACTCGTCAACAAAAGAAGCTTGAAAAAATTAAAAGAAAAGATAGATAGTTCGCAAGAAGCATATAAACCTTGCTTGAACAATATGAGACATTTGCTAATCTTAATATGGAGCTATCTACTAAAATTGAGCAACTTGAGGCTAGTGCAACAACAAATGCATGCACAATCAATGATGAGCAACTTGTAAAGAAAAATGAAAAATTAAAAGAAAAGTTAGCTAGCTCACAAGATGCTTATAAAAGTTTGCTTACTAAAATGGAAACCATGTGCAAACATTGTGATGAGCTAACTAATAAAGTTGCTAATCTTGAAGCCGTCTGTACAACTCCCACCAAGGCACCTAAAAAAAAGTTCTATCTTTAACATGTCTAAAAAGGATGCCTCTACTTTGTGCAATGATTTATGTTTAGACTCACCCTTGTGCAACCAAGTTTGTGTTGAGAAAAATTGTTGTAGATACATGCACACAAGAGGTTGCAATGGAGAATGAGCAACTCAAGCAAGAAGTGGCTCGCCTCACCAAGGACTTGACTCAAGTGAAAGGCAAGATGAAGCAAGCCCAACTTCATCAAGATAACACCGTCAAGGGAGTGAAGAAGCTTGATGAAGGACAAACCGTGGTTTGCTATGTGTGCCACAAGGAAGGCCACAAGTCCTATAAGTGCAAGGTGAAGAATGGGGGAGGAGCAAACAAGGAAGAGAAAAAGAAAACAAGCAAGCTCTCCAACACCTATAGCAATAAGGTAGACAAGAAGGTCTCTACACCTTATCTCTTGAAGAAGAAAAATGATAAGGTTGTGGCCATCAAGGTGAACAAGCAAGCCAACAATGGGGCCGAACGCATTTGGGTGCCAAAGAAAATCATTTCAAATATGAAGAGCACCAAGAAGGTTTGGATCCCAAAAGGGAAGTGAGAAGTCCGATGGACTTTGAGAAATTTAGAGACTTGGCAAAGTATGGGTACATTTCATAGGGTGCATCACATTGGATCATGTCAATTGCCAAGTGGGTTAGTGAATACTATGGACCCAAATTCCCCTTCCCATATTAGATAACTAGATGTAAATTCTTTCAATTGGTATTTCCTACAAGTGATGTTAAGATTTAATTTCTTGCAATTTCAATTAGCATCTAGTTCCTTTCATGCCTAGATTTGCATTTGCATGCTTATATCATTTGTCATGCATACACTAGGTATATCTTATGGTAGGATTGCTCGGTCTCATTCTTAACCCTTGGAGCAAACCTACATGGTTTAAATTGTTTAGGAGCACGGCACATAGTTTGTCTTTAAATTGTTCATCTAATATGTGCCAAAGTCCAAATTGTAGATAATTTCTTCTGAATATCATTTTCGAAAATGATTCTCACATTCATGTGATGTCATCTTTCAAGTGGTATTTTTATTCTAAAATCAATGTGCATATCTCCTACTAGTATTTCATACTTGTGTGCACAAATTTAGGGGAGGTTACTCTACAAGTTGGATGCTTTGAGACTAACACTTTTTCAAGCTTATCATGTGTGTAGTAGTCTCATTGAAAGGAAAATGGAATCCCCGGAGTAAGCATCATGCTTCAATTATCCACCACCTATTGCAATTGGTATAAATCAAATTGGTTTCCACATGTGGCATTTCTAATCCGATATTATCATATTGATTTCACTTTGATATTTATATGCTTTCTCCATGCATTATATAGATTAAACTCCCTTGAGCATTAATTTGCCAATTATGCATAAACTACATTCTCCATCATATGTATGCATATATTTAGGGGGAGCTTAGTCTATGTAATGTGAGAGTCAAATTTTGTGACCTATTTCACTCCATATACAAAGGATCACAAAGTTTGACTCTCCCTTATGCTACTAATGTCTTCCTTTTCGGTGTTTGATTCCAAAGGGGGAGAATTTATAGGACCAAAAGCAAGCCTGATCATAATAATTTACAAGTGGTAACGGTCCAAGAAAGGGAGGATAGTGGATTATGGTTTAGTCGATGTAATGGGGAGAATTTGGCCCCGTTCGCTTGTCTTAAATTTGGCTTGTTCGGCTTGTTTTTTCAGCCGGAACAATGTTTTTCTCTCACAACAATTCAGCCGGAACAGTGTTTTCAGCCAGTTTCAGCCAAAGTTCAGACCAGCGAACGGGGCCTTTGTAAGACCAAAAAGTAAGGCTTATATCCATAATGCCACATGGGGACATTTGCAAGGGTAAGATAAGTTTCAAAAGATATTGACATGTGGTACCTTTTAGCCTTACAAGTAGTATCTTTTACAAGTGGCATCTTTTAGCATCATATAACCTTGCCCTTTGCATTGCATCCTAGCAAGTAGATAGTTTTTAAATTCCAAAATTTTTATTATTTGCTTGCTTTGGTCATGTTGTCATCAATCACCAAAAAGGGGGAGATTGTAAGAAAAATGGACCCTAGGCCCATTTACTTTGGATTTTGGTGTTTGATAACCAACACAACCAAATTCAACTAATAAATTTGCAAGTAATTGTTTTGTAGTTCAATAGGATGCAAGACGTGACTTGGACGAAGGCAACATGGTGATCCCATGATCAACACTATAAGCAAGACCCTAGAAGCACAAGAGAAGACCCAAGATATAAAGCAAAATCCAAGCACGAAGATAGGAACCAAGCCAGACGCAAGATCGCGAAGAAACATGCTCGGCAGAGTGACTGGACGCTGCGACTGGACGCTGAAAGATGAGCGACCGGACGCACCGATGGTACTATTCATCATCCCGGCAATAGTTCAGCATTGACCGGACGCTGGCGATTAACCAACCGGACGCAGGAACTGTTCATCATCCCGGCAATAGCTCAGCATCGAGTACAGAGAGGTTCCAAAGCGGCGAAATTGCGACCGGACGCGTCCGGTGGCATGTGACCGGACGCCATCAGCGTCCGATCAGTTGACACGCGCTCTAATGGTCGGGACGACCAGATGCGTCCGATCAGGACGACCTAAGCGTCCTGTCAGTAGCAGAAGAGCGGGATTTCGTCCCCAATGGCTACTTTCTACATCGGGTTTATAAATAGACCCCAAACCGGCCATTTGAGTAGTGTGAAGCTGAGAAAACATATCTAGAGTGTTGATACATCATTTTAGTGATCTCCACATGCATAGTGCTTAGTGATTCATTAGGTGATTAGCGTAGGTGCTTTGCGAAGTCCTTAGGTTGATTAGACCACCGCTTATGTGCTTGCTCTAGGTTTAGGCCTAGTGTTTAGTGAGGTTTACATACTTCTTACCATTCGGTGCTTGCGCGCACCATTGTTGTACATCGAAGGGGCTTGTAGTCTTGCGAGATCACACCAACGGTGTTTGTGGTGTGGCCGCCACCGTGTACCGGAGAGAACAAGACCCACGGCGTTTCGGCCGGAAGCTTGATAGTGAAGACGGCGGGGAGCGGTCCGGGAGAGCCTTTATCACGAGTGGCTTAACCAGAGACCCGCTTGCGCGTGGGGAAGGCCCATAGTTATTCACAGAGTTACCCGACCGGGAGCTTGGCCTTATGAGGGGTTCCTTGCGAGGGGCTCCAACGAGGACTAGGGAGAAGCTTGCGCGCTTCTTAATACCTCGGTAAAAATACCAGAGTCGTCGACGGGAGTTTGCATATCTCTACATTGGTCTTTAGCTTCCGCATTTACATTGTTTCTATTACTTCTTTTGCGATAGAGATAGCAAAACATTAGCAAAACCGTAGTTGCACATTGAGATAGTTTATCTTATATATAGGTTTTGCTAAGGGTAGAAAAAGAGACCATAGTTTTAGAAGTAGAATTTTATGTTGTCTAATTCACCTTTCTCTTAGGTGTCACGGTCCTCCTCACTTACTATTAATCGTGAGCAGCGAGCCTATATATAGGGAAGTTTTGCAGCCATGAACAAGTCAAGCCCAGCAAAAGCCCTGCACCATGTTGCTCAGCAAGGAGCAAAAACACACAATTGCTGAGCAACAACACACAAGAACAGAACAGCAGGTGCTGGACGCCATGGTGCTCAGCAAGGACCAACAACACACAATTGCCGAGCAACAACACACACTTTCCGAGCAACAGCACGCGACAAAAAGAAGCACCGAACAGCAGGTGATGCTGGATGCCGAGCTCCAGCTCTGGAACCACACCTTCGGCTACGTCAAGTCCATGGCGCTCAAGGCCGCGCTGGACCTCGGCATACCGGACGCCATCCACCAGCACGGCGGCTCCGCCACGCTCCCACAGATAGTCACCAGGGTGACGCTCCACCCGTCCAAGACGTCATGCCTGCGGCGCCTCATGCGCGTGCTCACCCTCACCGGCGTCTTCGGCGTTCAGCATCACGACGGCGGCAACGGCGACGAGCTCGTCTACAGGCTCACACCGGCGTCCCGTCTCCTGGTGGGCGGCTCGTCGGGGCAGCAGAACTTGAGCCCGTTCCTGACGCTGATGCTGGGCCCCCTCTTCGTGTCGTCATTCCTCGACCTCCGCGGGTGGTTCCAGCACGAGACGCCCGACCCGTCGCCGTTCAAGATGACGCACGGGCGGGACATCTGGGAGCTGGCCGCCCACGACGCCGCCGGCTTCGGCAGGCTCTTCAACGCCGGCATGGTCGCCGACAGCGACTTCATCATGGACGTCGTGGTGAGGGAGTGCGGCGCCGTGTTCCGGGGGATCCGCGGCTCCCTCGTCGACGTCGCCGGCGGGCTCGGTGGCGCCGGCCAGACCATCGCGAGGGCGTTCCCGCACCTGGAGTGCACCGTGATGGATCTCCCAAACGTCGTCGCCGGTGCTCCCGCTGACACCACCGTCAAGTACGTCGCCGGTGACATGTTCGAGAGCGTTCCGTCGGCGGACGCTGTCTTCCTCAAGGTACGTACGGACATCTATCTACCTCGTAGTAGTACTATGCGTATGCATGGGAACAAAAAGGTCAATAACAACCGGTAGTGACATATATGGCAACGACTCATATATATATAATGTTGTTCTCTTTTGGTATATAATATATATATATATATATATATATATATATATATATATATATATTTATTGCACTTTTCCTAAATGTCAGGTGCTTGAAAAATTTAAGTTACTTCAGGCGACGTGTTGATCGTGTGTAGTATAACCATGTTGTCTTGTGATTTATTTATAATTTGTTAATTATCTTTGTGTTACATATTAATCTTTGTTCTTGTCTAACCATAGAAAAAATTGTAAATTGTTAATTGTCTTTGTGTCAATATACATTAGATTTTGTTAGGTTTGTATTTTTGTTTATTATCGGATTTTTTATCCCTGGATCTGAAAATTGTAGATTATGCCTACAAAAATTATAATGAACTAAAGCTGCAATTTTAACATAAAATATATGCAATAACCGTTATCTGAAAGGAAGCAACTCACTATTTATTGTGACGCTACCTTATTTGATTTATTTGGTGGAATTCACTTTCAGTGGATTATGCATGACTGGGGTGATGCCGACTGTGTCAAGATATTAAAGAACTGCAAGAAGGCGATACCGGCTGAAGGAGGGAAGGTGATAATACTGGATATCGTGGTTGGAGCAGGGTCGTCATCGTCCGACCGGAATGTGGAGACGCAATGCTTGTTTGATCTCTTCATCATGTTTATCAACGGTGCCGAGCGAGATGAGCGAGAGTGGAAGAAGATTATCTTCGAAGCCGGATTTAGATCTTACAATATCATACCTGTTCTGGGCATTCGATCCATAATCGAGGTCTACCCGTAGAAATCAATTTGTATGTAACAAGTACGTACTGCGTAAGCCTGATAAGTGTGTAATGCCACGCCCACGTGCTCGCTTCATCGTTCAAATGTGTCATGTGTGTAGACATGTATTTTGGTAAATTTGTGTAGACATGTACAACCACGTTGTATTTTCAGATGTATGAACTATTGTGTGTGTGTATACAACTTGTTGTAGAAGAAGACGATAATGAAGTACCGTTATTAGCGGGGTATTTTTATCAGAATAACCGTTGTTGTCAATGGAAGAATGAGAATCGTTTTGGACGTCACGCGGTCTGTATGTACATGAGGGCAGCAGCAACGCAAGTAGTAGTTCACGGTGGTCTCAACTAAAAGCAATGCTCCACATAGGTTGGACAAATGAAGCTAACGTAATACTACTCAATGCATGCTATTGCTTTTGGACACACCGCTGTTGCTGTTTTGGTTGCCTTTTCCAACTCTACGCAGCTTTCTCCATCTCTCTCCATAGACTACCTGCTCCTATGCCCAAGCCATCGGCTCTGCAGGTCTCTCTGACGCCTCTGCAAGCCACCGTTTTCTTCTTTCTTCTCTCTACGTCGCATCGGGACCTACGTGTCCTGACAAGGCTACAATCCAGGTTGGAGCGTTGGGGAGGCCCTGATGGAAGTGTCTTTATCCTTTTTGATTCGCTTCATGCCAGCATGGTTTTTTTAGTGATATAGTCAAAATAGAGACATCATGGTAAGACGTGTAAATTGTTTGCAAATGGTATGAGTTTCTTTTGTATATTTTTTCTTTTGGGATTGGGATGGTGGATACATGTGGCTTGTTTCATTTTGAGACTGGCCTATGGTGCTCACCCAGGCAATTCGATATGGCCATCGGGAGCTCGAAATCGACGGTCCAAGGAACTACTTGGACTAGGCAACTTTTGACAGGTTCACAACCAAACACGTGGCAATTATTTTTATTTTTTTCTTTGCTACGGTGGAGCATGCGCATGGACACACGTTTTTTCATGTGCTGATATTTTTTCAGTAGGCCACTGAACATGTGAAGCTAAAGCATTTCTATGGTACGTATTATTGTTATGCTATTACCTACTCCGTATTCTATGAACTTATGTGGTCTGATGGCAACTTGTCAAGGATTGGATACCACTTCGTACGTGCGGGTGGAGTGGACATGTGAACTATAAAAAAAAACATGTAAATAGTAGCCGTGTCAAGTGCCTAGATAGTGGACGTGATTTCTAAAATAAATTAGTAGACGCATGAATAGTTGGAATAGTACCTTAAATAGTGGCGGCGGAGGCTCTGGACAGTGGATGCGTTTTTTAACTAAACAGTGAACAACACGTGAAAAACACTTGAACGAGGTGTGAAAACTTCAACACTTGTGAACATTACATTGAACAGTATCCGAGGCTCTCGGCCTCTTAGAATTCCTTGTGTTAGTGTCTCTAACAACCGCGACCCAAAATACAAGACCTATTCGTCCTTTGGGGAGCGCTACAGGCAAATGGTTCAATACCTATTTTTGGTCTTCGCTAACAACAAGACCCAAAAGACAACCCTTTCTGCAAATAGGTCTCTAGGAGAGATGATACTAAAATTTAGGTTATGCCTATCCAGCACCCAAAATGGATCTTCCATATAGGTACTCTGTTGGAGGCTATAGGTATTGTGTTGGAGACTCATTTTGGGTTTGGGTTCCGCAATGGGTCTCCCGTTGGAGACAGCCTTAATAGTGTGATTATATATATAATAATAATAATGCTTCCCGGTATGCAAACGTTTTTATTCTACACCATGTGTCACTGCATGTAAGGAAACACACCTTATTACGCTGTCACTTAAGTAACTTGTGGCTCAGTGATTTATGTAATGGTCATGTCATATGCTCTAATACGTATTGGAATAGACTCTGTATTGTCGCTGGACACATAAACATGCATCATGACTCTAACTCGTACGAGGAGTCATGAGTTTGGATCAATAGGAGAGAGAAGGAAAGACACGACAACATTGTGGGAAGTAAAAAAAGATATGTTGATCCTTTTGCTCTCTATTATTAGGTATAGATAAGAGTTCGTTAAGGTGGTTCTAAAATACCATCGATACTTTTAGGTACATTCTGTTTTTTATTTTTGTTTATCCTTAAAAAATTTTAAATGGTTCGAAAAATATGAACCATTTATCAAGTGAAATTGAACAATGTAAAAATAAGAGATACAGAATGAACATACTCAGTAAAAAAAAGTGACGAACTTATCAAAATAGATGGACCAGATCTGAATTTTAATTATTTAATTATATTCAGTTAAGGGTAAAACATAACGAGCTGCCGACACTACCACTCGTGGATAGGGAGGGCGGGCAAAACTAACAGGACAATGAAGACACCAAGCATCTGCGGAGGTCACGTCCACCAACTACGTACATGAACCTCCTCACTGGTGATCGGCATGAGCACCACGCGTGTACTCCAATAGGATCGGGCAGAGTGGACTGAAAGTTGGGACACGGTGACGAGGAGGCACAGTTATGTGGGATGCGACGAGGCGGCGTAGTTCTTGTGCGAAGTATTTTATGATATGACTGGAACTTTGGTGTAAATTTTATTTCAATGCCAAGAAGGCAAAATTCAATAACCTCAGCATTTTGCAGAAAACTCCCTTGAAGTTTTGTGTAGAGTGTAAAGTGGTATAGCCCGGTGAATGGGCCTGTCGTCCAGTGGTAGGGCTGTCCAGTATGATGCTAAACCCTAGTGATCGCACCTTTTTTGAAATTTTCAAGAAATTTTAGGGTACACGCACGCGTACGCGTTCAGTGGTACTACGTGTTTCCCGCACACTGGAGGCGTCGACGTCTCCCAATCTCTTCTTTACGTGTGTACAGACGTGCACGCGTGTGTGTGCGTGTGGTGTGAGTGTGAAGTGTGTGGGTTGTGTGCGTCTAAGTTGTATTCAATCAAAACAATATAAAGTGTTGTAGCCCGACCCTAACGCAATACCCTGTCTCATCTCACTCACTCCCTCCCTCCCTCTCTCCCTCTCTCTCTCTCTCTCTCTCTTGTCGCAGCATCGCACCATGGTGCTTGCCATGCGCGCTTCAGTACTCACCACCGTCGCTGGAGCACGGGGAGCCGCATGAGCTCAGCGGCATTTGGCACACAAGCAGAAGAAGCCATGTAGGCCCGAGGGAAGTTGTGTGAGACCAGCAATGCATGGCATCGCCGTCACGGCCAACGCTTCTCGCCTCCCTACGATCGATCTAGATGCACCTCCTCCATCTTGCCTTCACTATCTCCTCTGCCTCAACCCACCCCCTTCGTCTTCTCCTTCTGATCCCCTCCTAATATCATGTCGAGTTCGTGCGGTGGACACAATAGGTGCTCACCTCTGAAAGGTCCTAATGGCTAGAGGAGGGGTGAATAGCCTATAAAAATTTCTACAACAACACTAAGCAATGTGGTTAGACATATATGAGGCGAAGCAATTCTTGCGCTAGCCTACTAAAAGAACAAGCCACCTACCACAAATTCTAGTTACTATAGTCTCTAAGCACACAAAGCTTGGTCACTACCACTAAGTTAGTGAGCTCTCAAAGACTAACTAAAGAGCCTCACTAACCACTAGATAAGTCACAAGCTAGCTCTCAAAACTAATTATACTAAAGAGCGTAGCAACATTAGGAATGTAAATACAAGAGAGGGGATGTGATGTTTATACCGTCGTGGCAGAGACAATCAATCAATCACAATGAATACCAATGAAATCCCAGTGACAAAATGACACAATGATTTTTCACCGAGGTTCACTTGCTTGCCGGCAAGCTAATCCCCATTGTGGCAATTCACTCACTTGGAGGTTCACGCGCAAATAGGCATCACACGCCTAACCCGCAATTGGGTGCTGCACAACCAAAACAAGATGAGGATCACACAAGCCATGAGCAATCCACTAGAGTACCTTTTGGCTCTCCGCCGGGGAAATGTCAAGAACCCCTCACAAACACCACGATTGGAGCCAAAGACAAACACCTTCCTCCGCTCGACGATCCTCATTGCACCAAGCCATCTAGGTGGTGGCAACCACCAAGAGAAATAAGCGAATCCCGCAGCGAAACAGAATCATCAAGTGCATCTAGATGCAATCACTCAAGCAATGCACTTGGATTCACTCCCAATCTCACAAAGATGATGAATCAATGATGGAGATGAGTGGGAGGGCTTTGGCTCAGCTCACAAGGTTGCTATGTCAATGAAAATGGCCAAGAAAGTGAGCAAGAGCTAGCCATTGGGCTTAAATAGGAGCCCCCACGAAATCTAGCTGTTGGCTCTCAGTTAGCACTGAAATCGGGGCGACCGGACGCGCCGATCGATCTGACCAGATGCACGCTCACCAGCGTTTGATCACTGGATGACAGGCATGTGTCTCCCACTTTGAACTACGCCCGTTGATCCCCAAGGGTTGACTACACCTGCGCCTGTGCTCAAGTGACAACAGGACACGCCGGCACATGACCTGACGTGCCCACACGGAGTCCGATCGCATGATCGCCAACACCACTGAGTCTCTGACCTGATGCGCCGAGAAGATGACCGGACGCACCCCCAGGCCAAGTCCGGTCACATCCAATAACGGTCTAGAGACGATTTTTGTCGATCGGACGCGTCTGCTCGGAGACGATCGGACGCACCCCTACGTCAGGTTTTCACCATGCTCGCTCAGTCGCCCACGTCAGCGTACGTCAGTAGGTTACCAGACGCACCCCCTTCGCGTCCAGTCCCTCTTTCTCTTCAGTGTCCGATCGCGAACCAAACAGAGCCCGAGCGCGCCAACTTCACTATAATTGACCGGACGCACCACCACCGAGTCCGGTCACTTCGGGAGCCAGAGTCCGGTCACCTCCTCTTCTCCAACTTTGCCACCCTTGATCAAATGTGCTAACCACCAAGTGTTACACCTTGTGCACGTGTGTTAGCATATTTTCACAAACATTTTTAAGGGTG